TGCTGTGGTGGGGTCTAAACCCAGACTGGAACATATCAAAAGAATTATTCATTGTTAAAAATTCAGTAAGTTGTTGGGAGGCCACTTTTTCAAGAATTTTTCCAATAAACGGCAGATTCGATATGGGGCGATAATTTTGAAGTCCCGCAGGATCCAGACTGCTCTTTTTTAGGAGAGGTCTTATGACTGCTGTTTTTAGGGCCATAGGAAATGTTCCTGACGACAGAGACATGTTTACTATTTGTGTCAGTGAAGGTAACAAACTGCTCAGGACGGACTTCAGAAATTTAGAGGGCAATATATCCAGGCTACATGTGGAGGAGCTCAGACTCATGATTATCTTTTTGATAGTTTCAGTATCCACAGGTGCAAAGTGAGTTAGCTCAGAAAGCTTCTCTGGCTGTTGCATTGTTATACGTGCTGTGGAGGTGATAGTGTTTTTGATTCCTTGTACTTTGTCATCGAAAAACTGTGCGAACTCATTACACCTAGATTTAGAGGAAAATTCTAGGGGCAACTTTACAAGGGGGTTCGTTAATCTACCAACTGTTGAAAACATAACACGAAAATTGTTACTGCAACCTCCAATAATGTCAGAAAAATACATTTCTCTTGTTCTACGTAGAACCCGGTTAAATTCACCCAACTCATCTTTAAAGATTTCATAATCGCCCTGGAAATTGGACTTTCGCCACTTCCGTTCGGCCCTCCGGCACTCTTGCTTCTGTGCCCTAACCGAGTCTGCCTTAGTCCATGGGGCCTTTTTCTTACTGGTAACTATTTTAACCGTCACAGGAGCAATGGCGTCCAGAACAGTCAGAACACTGGTGGTGACAGAGTTATACAATTCATCAACAGTAGAGCATGGAGTTTTCTCAAAATTTAGCATTCCCATGAACAGTTCACTTGTGTTTTCATGTATGTGTCTTCTTCTAACAGTTGTAAATTCAGCTGGTGGTTTGCTAGCAAAACACATGTCAAAAAATACACAGAAATGATCTGACAAAGCAACATCAACTACATTAACATTTGATACATTAACCCCCTTTGTAATTAGCAGGTCAAGAGTGTGCCCCCTGCTGTGGGTGGGGCCACTCACGTGCTGAATGAAACCAAAGGTCTCAAATACAGAAGCCAGCTCCTTTGCATTTCTGTCATCAACATTATCAACATGTACATTAAAATCACCTGTAATAACTAAACTATCAAAATCTGTGCACACGAATGAAAGTAGTTCAGTAAAATGGTCAATAAAATCGCAACATGACTGTGGTGGCCTGTACAGGACAATGAAAAGAGTAGAAGATTGCTTTTGTTCCATTTTAAAAGAAATATACTCAAACGATGAAAAATTTCCAAGGGGCATTCTATGGGAGACAAAGTGCTCTCTAAAAACTGCAGCTATGCCTCCCCCCCTTTTGTTTTCTCGTATTTCGGATTCGAATTTAAAATTGGGTGGTGTTGCTTCTATTAGAACTGCATTTCCTGTATTTTGGTCGAGCCATGTTTCAGCCATAAGCATAAAATCAAGATCATAAGAAGTGATAAAATTATTAATTAAAAATGATTTGTTACATAGAGATCTGACATTAAGCATAGCAAGTTTAAAAATAACGTCAGAGTCGATGAGTGTGGTTGATTGATTTCTACAGGGAACAGAAATTAGATTTGCAGAGTTGGACCGTCTAACTGCTGTCCTGTTTTGATTTCGTTTTTTAGTAATTTATAATACAATACAATACAATACAATTTATTCTTGTATAGCCCTAGGTCACAACAGAAGTCATCTCAGAGACTTAACAAAACCATTGAAATCACCAACACAGGTCAGAGAATCAACAGTTAAAACACATGAAGAATATAAAGCACACACAGAAGAAAATGTCCATACATGTTGTAGAATGCTAAAGTGTCCTGATCATCACCAATCCTTTCTGTTGGACACTAACTGTCCAACAAGACCCTCCTGCATCCACAAGGAACAACTCTTAAAAAACCCAGTGGGAAAAAGTGAGAAACCTTGGAGGAGAACTAGGGAAAACCACAGGGAGGGAGACCCATATGAGAAAGGGATCCGCTCCTCCGGACGGACAGACTAATGATCCAGGACCTAAGCTAGCTACAGAACGTGGACCAGTGGACGCTGAACGTGGACAGGTCCGGTGCAGGACTGAAGCACTCCCAGGCGGGTCGGGCGGGGCAGTCCGCAGGTGTAGATGGAAGAGGCCAGGCTCAGAGATCCCGTCATCGTACCATGAAACAGACAATGGGACAACGGGTGAATAGCAATGAACAAACTACAGTCAGAATCCTAAAAATGCTAAACAGATAAAGTAGGAAGGAGGAGAGGATAGTGCTCAAGTTACCATACTTCTCCCAGCAAACTGACTCCCTATGCAGCTTGACTAACACTCTGAGGAGTTTAACCTTCTCCGAGTCTTACCTTCCTAGCCATATGCTAAACTAAAGAGGACTGTTTTAAACCTAGCCTTGAATAAAGAATAACATACAGCATAATATATAACATAATATACAACATAACACAATACATTATTGAATAATATATAACATAATACAGCATATATATATATAAAATATACACTACATATTATATATTACCTAATTATATGCTAAATTAAAGTAAAGTGCTTTAAGCCTGGCCTTGAATGTGGAGAGCGTATCTGCTTCCTTAACATAAATGAAGCTGATTCCACAGTAAAGGAGCTTGGTAGCTAAATGCTCTGCCACCAACAGTGACCTTTGAGACCTTAGGGACCACCAGACGTCTGGCGTTTTGTGAGCGCAACGCTCGACCTGGTTGATACGACACTAACGTGTCTTGGAGATAAGAAGGAGCCAAGCCATTTATGGCTTTATATGTTAAGAGTAGGATTTTAAACTTTATTCTGTACTCCACAGGGAGCCAGTGGAGTGAATAATAATAATAATAATAATAATAATAATAATAATAATAATAATAATAATAATAATAATAATAATAATAATAATGATGATGATGATGATAATAACAATAATAACAATAATAATAATAATAATAATAATGGTGATGATGATAATAACAATAATAATAATAATGATAATAATAATAATGATGATAATAACAATAATAATAATAATAATAATAATAATGATGATGATGATAATAACAATAATAATAATAATAATAATAATGATGATAATAATAACAATAATAATAATAATGATAATAATAATAAGTTCATAGCTGCATAGACCATAAAGTTTAATCCTCATTTGTTTTTATGTAAAGTATGTGTTCAGCGGCTCACGTGTGAAAAGCTGGATTTATGTTTATGGTTTTACTGTGGCTCCTGGTGTTCACAGAGGTCTCCCATCACAGTTCTACCCAGGCTCTACTCTGCTTAGCTTCAGAGGTCTGCATGCAAAATCCATATTCTGTCACATAGATATCTAGATGTATTTTTAGAATAATCCATGATTCTTCTGGCTCCTGGTCAAGCCATGTTCCAGCTTCTTCCCTCTGGCAGAAGATATCGTTCGCTGAGATGCAGGAAGAACCCAAAAAATGGCTTAATGATAGTAAGATACAAGTCCAGGTGAAATCCAGGGAACCAGGACGGAACAGGACAGACATTAACAATACAAAGAACCAGCACCAAGGAGAGAGGAGCACAGGTACGTATGATTGAACATGATTATATTTATGATTTTAATGCTGTCTTGTTTTGATAAGCACTTTAAACTTGCCTTGCCTCACATACAGACACAGACAGACCTTCCTAGGCCTCTCCTCTGTGCCCATATATGGTCATGTGACACTGACATTCTCGGGGCTGTATACGCCTTCTTTCTGTGGCACTTCGAACATTCTGCAGACACAAAGGACTTGTTCTGGTCCAGCCTCAGACTCTGGTCCAGCCTCAGACTCTGGTCCAGCCTCAGACTCTGGTCCAGCCTCAGACTCTGGTCCAGCCTCAGACTCTGGTCCAGCCTCAGACTCTGGTCCAGCCTCAGACTCTGGTCCAGCCTCAGACTCTGGTCCAGCCTCAGACTCTGGTCCAGCCTCAGACTCTGGTCCAGCCTCAGACTCTGGTCAAGCCTCAGACTCTGGTCCAGCCTCAGACTCTGGTCCAGCCTCAGACTCTGGTCCAGCCTCAGACTCTGGTCCAGCCTCAGACTCTGGTCCAGCCTCAGACTCTGGTCCAGCCTCAGACTCTGGTCCAGCCTCAGACTCTGGTCCAGCCTCAGACTCTGGTGCAGCCTCAGACTCTGGTCCAGACTCAGACTCTGGTCCAGCCTCAGACTCTGTGTCGCTGTGGGCAGTGTGGCATTTAGAAGAACTGGACACTACACACGACAAACATAAAATCAATTCAATGTGTTTTGTGTTTTGTGTAGCGCTAAATCACAACAGCAGGATTTTACAAAGCTATCGATTCCTCAAAAACAGATCAGAGAATCTACAGTTTGAACACGTAATAATACCAAGATATTTGCTTCTTTATTATGCTAAAGCTATAGATATTATACTAGCTTCTTTATTATGCTAAAGCTAGAGATTTTATACTAGCTTCTTTATTATGCTAAAGCTAGAGATTTATACTAGCTTCTTTATTATGCTAAAGCTAGAGATTTTATACTAGCTTCTTTATTATGCTAAAGCTAGATACTTATACTAGCTTCTTTATTATGCTTAAGATACATATTTTATACTAGCGTCTTTATTATGCTTAAGATACATATTTTATACTAGCTTGGTCCATTGGAAGCTCTCTGACCATTGACCAATGTCTAATGAATGTAAATAAATATCTTACATGTTTATTATATGTGTCTAGAGTCCACAAACCAGCACTTACAGCCCACATGGTTATTACCAGTCTCAGTGTTACAGACAGACGTGCTGTCAGAGAGAGTCATGGTTTGCTGAGCTCAGACCAGGTGGAAACACGTCAGCTTTTGTTTTGACCAGACCTGGACCGATCTGCACCGAGCTGTCATCACAGAACCACCCAGCGCCAGCCCGGATCAAGCGGCGCAACCACAGAGACGAGCCGAGGTTTGGGCCCCGTAACCATGACGGCAAGACAGAAGAGGAGAGAGGGAGAGGTCCATGTCTGAGGTCCGTGTCTGAAGGAAGTCTGTGTCTGAGGTCCGTGTCTGAGGTTCATGTCTGAGGTCCGTGTCTGAGGTCCGTGTCTGAGGTCCATGTCTGAGGTCCGTGTCTGAGGTCCGTGTCTGAGGTCCGTGTCTGAGGTCCGTGTCTGAGGTCCGTGTCTGAGGTCCGTGTCTGAGGTCCGTGTCTGAGGTCCGTGTCTGAGGTCCGTGTCTGAGGTCCATGTCTGAGGTCCATGTCTGAGGTCCGTGTCTGAGGTCCATGTCTGAGGTCCGTGTCTGAGGTCCATGTCTGAGGTCCGTGTCTGAGGTCCATGTCTGAGGTCCGTGTCTGAGGTCCATGTCTGAAGGAAGTCTGTGTCTGAAGGAAGTCTGTGTCTGAGGTCCATGTCTGAGGTCCGTGTCTGAGGTCCGTGTCTGAGGTCCATGTCTGAGGTCCGTGTCTGAGGTCCATGTCTGAGGTCCGTGTCTGAGGTCCATGTCTGAGGTCCGTGTCTGAGGTCATGTCTGAAGGAAGTCTGTGTCTGAAGGAAGTCTGTGTCTGAGGTCCATGTCTGAGGTCCGTGTCTGAGGTCCGTGTCTGAGGTCCATGTCTGAGGTCCGTGTCTGAGGTCCGTGTCTGAGGCCCATGTCTGAGGTCCGTGTCTGAGGTCCGTGTCTGAGGTCCGTGTCTGAGGTCCGTGTCTGAGGCCCATGTCTGAGGTCCGTGTCTGAGGTCCGTGTCTGAGGTCCGTGTCTGAGGCCCATGTCTGAGGTCCGTGTCTGAGGTCCATGTCTGAGGTCCGTGTCTGAGGTCCATGTCTGAGGTCCGTGTCTGAGGTCCATGTCTGAGGTCCATGTCTGAGGTCCGTGTCTGAGGTCCGTGTCTGAGGTCCATGTCTGAGGTCCGTGTCTGAGGTCCATGTCTGAGGTCCGTGTCTGAGGTCCGTGTCTGAGGTCCATGTCTGAAGGAAGTCTGTGTCTGAAGGAAGTCTGTGTCTGAGGTCCATGTCTGAGGTCCGTGTCTGAGGTCCGTGTCTGTGGTCCATGTCTGAGGTCCGTGTCTGAGGTCCGTGTCTGAGGCCCATGTCTGAGGTCCGTGTCTGAGGTCCGTGTCTGAGGTCCGTGTCTGAGGCCCGTGTCTGAGGCCCATGTCTGAGGTCCGTGTCTGAGGTCCGTGTCTGAGGTCCGTGTCTGAGGCCCATGTCTGAGGTCCGTGTCTGAGGTCCATGTCTGAGGTCCGTGTCTGAGGTTGTTGTATATTTTAACTTCCGCCTCACGCACAGCTGCAATGGCTCCTACAAAGAAAGGCGAGAAGAAAAAGGGGCGTTCTGCTATAAACGAGGTGGTGACCCGAGAATACACCATTAACGTCCACAAGCGCATCCACGGAATTGGCTTCAAGCGGCGAGCTCCTCGTGCCATTAAAGAAATCCGCAAATTTGCTGTAAAAGAAATGGGAACTCCAGATGTGCGGATCGACACCCGCCTCAACAAGGCCGTGTGGAGCAAAGGCATCAGGAACGTCCCGTACAGGATCCGTGTGCGTTTGTCCCGGAAAAGAAACGAGGACGAGGAGTGCTGAACGGAATCATGGAATAACAAAAGTTTTCTGTAATGTTTTAATGTGATCATGGAATAATTATTTTTTGTCAACAGCATACGGTGCAAGTACTAGAGATTCAAAGATGACAAGCTTTATTGAACAGGTGTAAAAGTGAGAGTACTCTGGGATGAGTACTCTGAGAAAGTACTCTGAGAAAGTACTCTGAGATGAATACCTTGCTGAAGGTACTGGGAGCCCCTCCCTCTGCTGTTTGTCCTGACAGTGATTCGGTCCAACCGCAGTGAGCGGTCATTGGGCGGAGGACAACTTTGGTTTGTAATTCACATTTAGGGGAGTATAAAATTAGAAACATACATATTGTTAAGTCTGTATTTGGCTACAGCCTCTGCCCTGATGCCACACACCGTCTGTCAATGCAGTTATGTTTTGCCCAATTGGATTGATTGACAGGCCGCACCATGCGAAGAGAGGAAAGTGGGCGTTTCTTGTGTTCTAATGTTTGTTTTTCAGATGAAAGATAAACTGCACCTGCTTCAGGGATAACACAGTAGTATGGATCATAAGGAAAATGAGCCTCTACTTTGGCACCAAAGCCCACAATATGAATTGAGGACGATCCGGGAGGAACAACTGGAGATGATTGGAACAGTAATCTACACACACATACAGATGCATGTTTTATACTTTGGACCACGACCAACAGAGGGAGTATAGTAATGTTATTGTCATAGGTGGTCATGGTCCTTAACCTTCTAAATCATTAGAAAGAAGTGTAAAACATATATTTACAAGAACAAATAAATAATAGAAAGGGCAGCCTAAAAAAGCAAAATGGGAAAATTATTAAGTAATTTTCGGAGTTGCCAAAATGGAAATAAAATTCTATATTTGTCCCATAGGGGGTCATTCTAAATTTAGTGTTGTGCAAATTCAAAAGGAGAAATAATAGCGCTTATAACATCAAACAGATCTACTCTTTAAGATAATAATAGAATAGAATGAAATAGTCTGGAGCTATAATGTCATTGGATTCGAGGAGCTATAGGTTGAAAGGTCGCTAGGAAGAGGTGTCAGAATAAACAATAGTAATAATAGTTAGACTAGTGAATAATCAAAATAGTTCTATTGTGGAAATAAGTATCAATAAGGTCAAATTGTTCTAATAACTAAAGTAAAAAGGAATCAAATGGAGTCAGATTTTAGATGTTTCTGTTTTCCACATCTGTAGGAACTGGTGCAGAGGTGTTTATAGAGAGTAGTATTAAAATGCAGACATAGAACGACAGGCTTTAACACAATTTTAAATCTAAAAATAGCTCAAATATAACATTGCTCTTGACGCAGCCTCTGAGCTGCTCCATTGGAGAACAGGTTAAATGTTATTGTTTATTACAAACAGCTGATGTATTTACACATATTAAGTTTGGGACAACTCTTTAAACAGTTATAAGCAGCGGACAGAAGCCATGAATGTGCTTTTGTTTATTAAATAATTAATTTCATAGCCTTATAATCGTGGAAAACGTTTTAAAATAGTTAAAATCCCTTTCAGGCAACTTGATTTAGATGTATGTCTTTAATATTGGAGAACGACTGTGTTGTTTTTGGAATTGTCTGAAATACAATACATAGAATAGTGATTTGCAGAACAAGAACCAGCCAATGAAAAATCGTCTATTGCCAATGCAATTGTTACAATCAGAACTCAAAAATTGGGAATATGCTTTGGCTCAAACTACAACCAAGATTTGGAGTCACAATAGAGTGTAAAATAGATAGATGCTTTCAAAAATAGAGATTATTTTTAGACAGGGCCAATATCAAACGGTAAAAGGACCATTTCCTTCATATTATGTCCAAAAGTATTTACTTTAAAAGATGAAGTTCATTACATGTTCATGCACAGGTTTATTAGATACTGTCAAATTCGCTTGTTTCAAACATAGGTGAATGTTAACAATGCCAAAAGTTAATGAGATAGATTAGAACCAACAGAGATTCAAAAACATTTAAAAGCATTTTGGTTAATTTGAATATAGCACAAAAGTAGATATTTAGGTAGTTTTGAGAATTTTAAGAGCTGTCGATTTGTCAGCAACAGATTAGAGAATCAAAATACCGTTGTATAGGGACTGACCCCAGAGAAACCTGCTAAAATAGATTAGCTCCTGTAACGATAATACCAATTTGATTAATGATGAAGAATCAGAATGACACAGCGGTGGTCATCAAAGAGTTTTGTGAAGGAATGTTTCGAATGTGGTTGTGTGTTGTATTCTTTCTGTATTAACTCTTCACAGATATCAAGCCGGAACTAAGCACAAGTATGGATGATAAACGACGATGTGGATTGTGACCTAATTTTTTAATCAGGTCAAAAGAGGGAAACTGTTGTATATTTTAACTATGCAGATGTGAATATTGGCTGACCCTGATTTGAACTGTCTTTTCCTAAAGCAAAAAGACCTGGTTTCCCCATGTTCCTTTGTTAGTCCAAAGTGCATGGGTGAGTTAATGATAGGTAATCTGGGGGGGATTCTGCTAATCCTGAAGGAGGGGGACCCAGAGAGCCTTCTGCCTTATCTCAAAGAAGTAATAAATTTGGGGAGTGGTAGTGTGTGTGAATGATTCTGTTTAAGGTACGGCAGACAGAGGGGACATGATGGAAGAGGCCGGACCCAAGTCCTGCCTGATACGACACGCCCCCTGCTTCCTGAACATGGACTGATAATGCTCTGGCTTGAGAGGACACAGGAGAATGAGCCGAGGGCGAGCCAGGGACATGCATAGTTTTAGGAGCCCTCTTTGTTGGAATTTCTGTATCTGATTGTAAAGATAATTAAATACAGATGTTAAAACTTGGAGATCTGTTGTCATGCCTCTGCATCAACTCGAACACGTCAGTCAAGGGAATTATTGACTTCAAGGTCCATGTCTGAGGTCCATGTCTGAGGTCCGTGTCTGAGGTCCGTGTCTGAGGTCCATGTCTGAGGTCCGTGTCTGAGGTCCATGTCTGAGGTCCGTGTCTGAGGTCCGTGTCTGAGGTCCATGTCTGAAGGAAGTCTGTGTCTGAAGGAAGTCTGTGTCTGAGGTCCATGTCTGAGGTCCGTGTCTGAGGTCCGTGTCTGTGGTCCATGTCTGAGGTCCGTGTCTGAGGTCCGTGTCTGAGGCCCATGTCTGAGGTCCGTGTCTGAGGTCCGTGTCTGAGGTCCGTGTCTGAGGTCCGTGTCTGAGGCCCATGTCTGAGGTCCGTGTCTGAGGTCCGTGTCTGAGGTCCGTGTCTGAGGCCCATGTCTGAGGTCCGTGTCTGAGGTCCATGTCTGAGGTCCGTGTCTGAGGTCCATGTCTGAGGTCCGTGTCTGAGGTCCATGTCTGAGGTCCATGTCTGAGGTCCGTGTCTGAGGTCCGTGTCTGAGGCCCATGTCTGAGGTCCGTGTCTGAGGTCCATGTCTGAGGTCCGTGTCTGAGGTCCATGTCTGAGGTCCGTGTCTGAGGTCCATGTCTGAGGTCCGTGTCTGAGGCCCATGTCTGAGGTCCGTGTCTGAGGTCCGTGTCTGAGGTCCGTGTCTGAGGTCCATGTCTGAAGGAAGTCTGTGTCTGAAGGAAGTCTGTGTCTGAGGTCCATGTCTGAGGTCCGTGTCTGAGGTCCGTGTCTGTGGTCCATGTCTGAGGTCCGTGTCTGAGGTCCGTGTCTGAGGCCCATGTCTGAGGTCCGTGTCTGAGGTCCGTGTCTGAGGTCCGTGTCTGAGGCCCATGTCTGAGGTCCGTGTCTGAGGTCCGTGTCTGAGGTCCGTGTCTGAGGCCCGTGTCTGAGGTCCGTGTCTGAGGCCCATGTCTGAGGTCCGTGTCTGAGGTCCATGTCTGAGGTCCGTGTCTGAGGTCCATGTCTGAGGTCCGTGTCTGAGGTCCATGTCTGAGGTCCGTGTCTGAGGTCCGTGTCTGAGGCCCGTGTCTGAGGTCCGTGTCTGAGGCCCATGTCTGAGGTCCGTGTCTGAGGTCCATGTCTGAGGTCCGTGTCTGAGGTCCATGTCTGAGGTCCGTGTCTGAGGTCCATGTCTGAGGTCCGTGTCTGAGGTCCATGTCTGAGGTCCGTGTCTGAGGTCCATGTCTGAGGTCCGTGTCTGAGGTCCATGTCTGAGGTCCATGTCTGAGGTCCGTGTCTGAGGTCCATGTCTGAGGTCCGTGTCTGAGGTCCGTGTCTGAGGTCCGTGTCTGAGGCCCATGTCTGAGGTCCGTGTCTGAGGTCCATGTCTGAGGTCCGTGTCTGAGGTCCATGTCTGAGGTCCGTGTCTGAGGTCCATGTCTGAGGTCCATGTCTGAGGTCCGTGTCTGAGGTCCGTGTCTGAGGTCCGTGTCTGAGGTCCATGTCTGAGGTCCGTGTCTGAGGTCCGTGTCTGAGGTCCATGTCTGAGGTCCGTGTCTGAGGTCCATGTCTGAGGTCCATGTCTGAGGTCCATGTCTGAGGTCCGTGTCTGAGGTCCGTGTCTGAGGTCCGTGTCTTGTATGTGACAGACAAACCACAATCCACTGCTGTTTTAATGGTTCTTAAATGTACTTCATGCTTGACGTATATAAATGTATGGAAACCTTGAGTATAAAGAAAGGCACTTTTGGATTAAAACATGTGGTTTTGAGTAAACATTTTAACAGATAAATCAAATCTATAACATCTAAAAACATTGCCAGGATCAAAAACATAGTGTGTAAAGCAGAGATGGATATTCGTACCCGTGCATTTGTCTCCAGTAGGTTAGACCACTACTGTAACGGCCTGTGGTCCTGACTAGAACCAGGAAGTACATCACATTAGTCCTGACTAGAACCAGGAAGTACATCACATTAGTCCTGACTAGAACCAGGAAGTACATCACATTAGTCCAGACTAGAACCAGGAAGTACATCACATTAGTCCTGACTAGAACCAGGAAGTACATCACATTAGTCCTGACTAGAACCAGGAAGTACATCACATTAGTCCTGACTAGAACCAGGAAGTACATCACATTAGTCCTGACTAGAACCAGGAAGTACATCACATTAGTCCTGACTAGAACCAGGAAGTACCATCACATTAGTCCTGACTAGAACCAGGAAGTACATCACATTAGTCCTGACTAGAACCAGGAAGTACATCACATTAGTCCTGACTAGAACCAGGAAGTACATCACATTAGTCCTGACTAGAACCAGGAAGTACATCACATTAGTCCTGACTAGAACCAGGAAGTACATCACATTAGTCCTGACTAGAACCAGGAAGTACATCACATTAGTCCTGACTAGAACCAGGAAGTACATCACATTAGTCCTGACTAGAACCAGGAAGTACATCACATTAGTCCTGACTAGAACCAGGAAGTACATCACATTAGTCCTGACTAGAACCAGGAAGTACATCACATTAGTCCTGACTAGAACCAGGAAGTACATCACATTAGTCCTGACTAGAACCAGGAAGTACATCACATTAGTCCTGACTAGAACCAGGAAGTACATCACATTAGTCCTGACTAGAACCAGGAAGTACCATCACATTAGTCCTGACTAGAACCAGGAAGTACATCACATTAGTCCTGACTAGAACCAGGAAGTACATCACATTAGTCCTGACTAGAACCAGGAAGTACATCACATTAGTCCTGACTAGAACCAGGAAGTACATCACATTAGTCCTGACTAGAACCAGGAAGTACATCACATTAGTCCTGACTAGAACCAGGAAGTACATCACATTAGTCCTGACTAGAACCAGGAAGTATGACCACATTAGTCCTGACTAGAACCAGGAAGTACATCACATTAGTCCTGACTAGAACCAGGAAGTACATCACATTAGTCCAGACTAGAACCAGGAAGTACATCACATTAGTCCTGACTAGAACCAGGAAGTACATCACATTAGTCCTGACTAGAACCAGGAAGTACATCACATTAGTCCTGACTAGAACCAGGAAGTACATCACATTAGTCCTGACTAGAACCAGGAAGTACATCACATTAGTCCTGACTAGAACCAGGAAGTACATCACATTAGTCCAGACTAGAACCAGGAAGTACATCACATTAGTCCTGACTAGAACCAGGAAGTACATCACATTAGTCCTGACTAGAACCAGGAAGTACCATCACATTAGTCCTGACTAGAACCAGGAAGTACATCACATTAGTCCTGACTAGAACCAGGAAGTACATCACATTAGTCCTGACTAGAACCAGGAAGTACATCACATTAGTCCTGACTAGAACCAGGAAGTACATCACATTAGTCCTGACTAGAACCAGGAAGTACATCACATTAGTCCTGACTAGAACCAGGAAGTACATCACATTAGTCCTGACTAGAACCAGGAAGTACATCACATTAGTCCTGACTAGAACCAGGAAGTACATCACATTAGTCCTGACTAGAACCAGGAAGTACATCACATTAGTCCAGACTAGAACCAGGAAGTACATCACATTAGTCCTGACTAGAACCAGGAAGTACATCACATTAGTCCAGACTAGAACCAGGAAGTACATCACATTAGTCCTGACTAGAACCAGGAAGTACATCACATTAGTCCTGACTAGAACCAGGAAGTACATCACATTAGTCCTGACTAGAACCAGGAAGTACATCACATTAGTCCTGACTAGAACCAGGAAGTACATCACATTAGTCCAGACTAGAACCAGGAAGTACATCACATTAGTCCTGACTAGAACCAGGAAGTACATCACATTAGTCCGACTAGAACCAGGAAGTATGACCACATTAGTCCTGACTAGAACCAGGAAATATGACCACATTAGTCCTGACTAGAACCAGGAAGTACCATCACATTAGTCCTGACTAGAACCAGGAAGTACGACCACATTAGTCCTGACTAGAACCAGGAAGTATGACCACATTAGTCCTGACTAGAACCAGGAAGTACATCACATTAGTCCTGACTAGAACCAGGAAGTACATCACATTAGTCCTGACTAAACCAGGAAGTACATCACATTAGTCCTGACTAGAACCAGGAAGTACATCACATTAGTCCTGACTAGAACCAGGAAGTACATCACATTAGTCCTGACTAGAACCAGGAAGTACATCACATTAGTCCAGACTAGAACCAGGAAGTACATCACATTAGTCCTGACTAGAACCAGGAAGTACATCACATTAGTCCTGACTAGAACCAGGAAGTACATCACATTAGTCCTGACTAGAACCAGGAAGTACATCACATTAGTCCTGACTAGAACCAGGAAGTACATCACATTAGTCCAGACTAGAACCAGGAAGTACATCACATTAGTCCTGACTAGAACCAGGAAGTATGACCACATTAGTCCTGACTAGAACCAGGAAGTACATCACATTAGTCCTGACTAGAACCAGGAAGTACATCACATTAGTCCTGACTAGAACCAGGAAGTACATCACATTAGTCCTGACTAGAACCAGGAAGTACATCACATTAGTCCTGACTAGAACCAGGAAGTACATCACATTAGTCCTGACTAGAACCAGGAAGTACATCACATTAGTCCTGACTAGAACCAGGAAGTACATCACATTAGTCCTGACTAGAACCAGGAAGTACATCACATTAGCCCTGACTAGAACCAGGAAGTACATCACATTAGTCCTGACTAGAACCAGGAAGTACATCACATTAGTCCTGACTAGAACCAGGAAGTACATCACATTAGTCCAGACTAGAACCAGGAAGTACATCACATTAGTCCTGACTAGAACCAGGAAGTACATCACATTAGTCCTGACTAGAACCAGGAAGTATGACCACATTAGTCCTGACTAGAACCAGGAAGTACATCACATTAGTCCTGACTAGAACCAGGAAGTACATCACATTAGTCCTGACTAGAACCAGGAAGTACATCACATTAGTCCTGACTAGAACCAGGAAGTACATCACATTAGTCCTGACTAGAACCAGGAAGTACATCACATTAGCCCTGACTAGAACCAGGAAGTACATCACATTAGTCCTGACTAGAACCAGGAAGTACATCACATTAGTCCTGACTAGAACCAGGAAATATGACCACATTAGTCCTGACTAGAACCAGGAAGTACGACCACATTAGTCCTGACTAGAACCAGGAAGTACATCACATTAGTCCTGACTAGAACCAGGAAGTACATCACATTAGTCCAGACTAGAACCAGGAAGTACATCACATTAGTCCTGACTAGAACCAGGAAGTACATCACATTAGTCCTGACTAGAACCAGGAAGTACATCACATTAGTCCTGACTAGAACCAGGAAGTACATCACATTAGTCCTGACTAGAACCAGGAAGTACATCACATTAGTCCTGACTAGAACCAGGAAGTACATCACATTAGTCCTGACTAGAACCAGGAAGTATGACCACATTAGTCCTGACTAGAACCAGGAAGTACGACCACATTAGTCCTGACTAGAACCAGGAAGTACATCACATTAGTCCTGACTAGAACCAGGAAGTACGACCACATTAGTCCTGACTAGAACCAGGAAGTACATCACATTAGTCCTGACTAGAACCAGGAAGTACATCACATTAGTCCAGACTAGAACCAGGAAGTACATCACATTAGTCCTGACTAGAACCAGGAAGTACATCACATTAGTCCTGACTAGAACCAGGAAGTACATCACATTAGTCCTGACTAGAACCAGGAAGTACATCACATTAGTCCTGACTAGAACCAGGAAGTACATCACATTAGTCCTGACTAGAACCAGGAAGTACATCACATTAGTCCTGACTAGAACCAGGAAGTACATCACATTAGTCCTGACTAGAACCAGGAAGTACATCACATTAGTCCTGACTAGAACCAGGAAGTACATCACATTAGTCCTGACTAGAACCAGGAAGTACATCACATTAGTCCTGACTAGAACCAGGAAGTACATCACATTAGTCCTGACTAGAACCAGGAAGTACATCACATTAGTCCTGACTAGAACCAGGAAGTACATCACATTAGTCCTGACTAGAACCAGGAAGTACATCACATTAGTCCTGACTAGAACCAGGAAGTACATCACATTAGTCCTGACTAGAACCAGGAAGTACATCACATTAGTCCAGACTAGAACCAGGAAGTACATCACATTAGTCCTGACTAGAACCAGGAAGTACATCACATTAGTCCTGACTAGAACCAGGAAGTATGACCACATTAGTCCTGACTAGAACCAGGAAATATGACCACATTAGTCCTGACTAGAACCAGGAAGTACCATCACATTAGTCCTGACTAGAACCAGGAAGTACGACCACATTAGTCCTGACTAGAACCAGGAAGTATGACCACATTAGTCCTGACTAGAACCAGGAAGTACATCACATTAGTCCTGACTAGAACCAGGAAGTACATCACATTAGTCCTGACTAGAACCAGGAAGTACATCACATTAGTCCTGACTAGAACCA